TTAAAATACTCTTGTCTATCTTTAACGCCACTTTCTGCTTGTTTTATCTGAGAGGCTCGATGCGTTGTCTAGGTTCGCTTATATGCAAAGAAAAGTTGGGTTTCGCGGAATCTCTTGTTTCATAATTGTTGAGCTTACCTCCATTTTGAGTGAGTGTTGGGTGAAGAGATTCGAAGGTCGGTTCCACGAGAATTGAAGGATATTACTTCGGAAACAGCTTTAGCATAAATCTCCCAGTAAAGTCAATCGACAGTTGGTCAGGAGGAATCCGCCGTCGTTTTCTGGTGGAATCGAGCTTCGAATTTCTCCACCCAACACTTTCACTCGAAATGGAAGTAAGCTCAACAATTAGGTTCGCTTAGTCTCTGCGGGACACAGTGCAGAGGAATCATGACTCGATTGGGGTTGCATGAGATGAGTGATAACTGCGAGAGATATTTAGCCAAATTGATTGTATAGCAACCATTAATACACACTCATGTTCTCATCTTTCAGGTCCACCGCTCTCTGCAGGATGGCTCTCTGCCGCCTTACCGATTGTCGGTGCGCAACCTGCGCTCCGATCTCGTCGTTGTCAGTCCGGCCCAGCCCAGTCTCAGTCGAGGCCGCCTCGGTCCGCTACAACCGGCGTCTCACCGACTACGTCTTAACTCCCATTTAGCCTCAGCCCTGCCCTGGACCTGGTCTTGGACCGGCCGAGCCTCTGAGAAGACCGATCCGGTCGCCGAAGAAGCCGGCAGCCGCGCGGGCAGTGGCAAACACGCTTTCTCCAGCTGGTGGCAGGTCCCGACTGAGTCTGCTCCCATTCAGCTCAGACGCAACAGGCGGGTTTACATGCACCCGTCCGCCACAAGTCCTAACCCAACCTCTCGGTTAAGGAGGAAACGCCGGAACGAATTGCCTCCGACTCCCAGAAGGGGCCCATCACCTCCGGCCAGCTCACTCTGGAACGGACCCGTCGTCCGTCTCCTGAGAGAAGATCAATCTTTTGAGGGTACATTTCAACTTGCCCAGTTGATATCTCAATTTTTGCCAATGTGTCATGGCGTGACTGTGTGCGTGTTTATGTGTGCATTAAGTAAAGCTGGGTTTCAGAGAATCTCTTGAGGTAT